TCTACCCAAATGAGCACTTTGAGGGTTTAGCGAACAATTGGTGCTGGCACAATAGGCCTAATACACACTACAAATGTTCTAAATGGGAGGCCCAACTTGGGCTGTAAACAAGTATATCATCAAAGAAAACGAGCACAAATAGGCGCAGGTAAGGTTTGAAAATCCCATTCATGAGTCTCTGGAATATGGAGGTGCATTTGTTAACCCGAAGGGCATCACTAGAAATTCAAAATGCCCGTCTAAGGTTCTAAATGTAGTTTTGTGAACATCCTCCGGGTGGACTCGGATCTGATGGAAGCCTGATTGCAGGTCCATCTTGGAAAAGTATTGAGCTTGTCCCAACTCATCAAATAGTTCTTCAATCAGTGGTATTGGGTATCGGTCTTTAACCGTGATTCGGTTCAAGGCTCTATAGTCCACATAGAATTTCTAGTTACCATCTTTCTTTCTCACCAAAATAATCGGTGACGAGAATGGGCTGTTGCTGGGCCGGATAAATCCCTAGTCTAACAGTTCAGTCACCATACACTCCACTTCTACCCTCTGATAATGGGGGTAGCGATAGGGTCTAACATTGGCAGGTGGGGCTCCAGGTTGGATGGGAATCTAGTGGTCATGGGCTCGAGGGGGTGGCAATGAAGTGGGTTCTTGGAAGATACCAGAGTAGGTTTGAAGCAGTAGCTAGAGCTATTTGGTCTGGTCTGGGGAAGGGCCAGTGTCTTCTGAGGGTGGAGTGATCGTAGGCCCAATGGGCATCGAGCCCATACTCATCAGTAAGGGAATAGAGCCATGTTGGCAGTTCTTAAGTATAACCTCTAAGCTGTCAGCAGTTATGGGTTGGGTCTTAAGTCTTAGCCCCCTTTAATGTGTAGGAACTTCCCTCATAGGTGAATTGCATTGTCAAGTCAGCCCAATTACAAACCACAGGGCCCAGTAACTGTAACCATTGTATGCCCAAGACAACGTTTGCCCCAGTGAACTCTAGCGGATGTAGGTCCACTCTAAAGCTGTATCCTTGAATCTTCAATTCGACCAATCTACACCTCCCCTCACGAGAGATTTGGTGACCATTGGCCACGTTAACTGCAAATGGTGATATGGGCTCTATCACTAACCCGAGTTGTTTGGCTAAGCTTGGAGTAATGAAATTCAGGGAGCTCCCACTATCAATCAAGACAACCACTCTCTTCCCCGATATTTGCCCCTGCACCCTCATGGTTCTTGGGGCCTGATAACTAGCCAGGGCCTGAAGGGAAATAACACAATATTCTACCTCCGGTACCACCTCCATTTTCTGAACCCCGGGATCGCTGGTTTGTGATACAAGATCCTCCTCTCCTACTTGTAATAGATACACATGTTGGGCCTTGCATTTGTGACCTGGGACGGATTTCTCGTCAAAGTTATAGTAGAGGACCTTCTCCCTACAGGCCTGCATTTCCGTCCAGGATAATTTCCGGTAAGGGAGGGTCAGTGCTCCAACTCTCTTGTTGGGTGGAACAACTAAGGGAACCGGTTTAACGGTGGTTGTGGTTGGGGTCGGAAGAAGAGGACCAGATTTTGACACAGTCTTGGGGTAGGGTCCTTTCTGGGCTAGGCCCGCTTAAGGCCTAATAGGCCTCCCCAACTTCTTAAGTTGGTCCAACCTCTCCTCCTGAAGCTTAGCTAGTCCCACCGCCGCCAAGGTTTAAAATGTCAATGTCGATGGAAATGTCGCTTACCAAAATATAGGACATATGTCGAAATGTCGGAAATGTCGAGGGGAAATATTGTAAAATTTAGAGACATTGTGGAAATATGCAATGATATTTTGTAAAATGATAAAAGAAGCATTAATACATATTTCTAAACTATTATCTTATTCCCAACCATTATATAAAGCTAAGAAACTAAGATCAATAACAAATTAGTAAATGACGATTTAC